ATTACTGAAAAGAACAGCACATACACAACATTTATGATGAAATCAGTGATGTTCTCCAATATGCTTCCCAAAATATTGTTTCTATTTACTTATCCTAAGACTGACATTGATTTAGAACAAAACTGAAAAAACTGTTTACCTGCAGCCAACTGGACTAGTAAAGAGAGGATGAAAACCTCTCTGTAAAACCCCATCACGCTGTTCTCTTTCTCCAGATAAACCACTATAAACAATATAGATTAAGAAGACTTCATTTAATTCAGAATTTTGCACTGAACAGACATATTCAAAAAAATAATGCATCTTCAGTGACTTCATCTGAATAACACATGGACAATCCAGACATATCTGAAGACATGCAGAACAATACAACAGTTCCATTCAATTGCAATTATGTTTCCATACTACAAAAACCCTTGCATTATTTGAACATCTGGAAACAAATACACTGTAAAAAATCTGTTAGGGTGCTGGAAAAAGCATCCATAAAATAACAGCTGTTAAATTACAGAAATTTACCGTGAAATAACAGACGTTAAATGACAGAAATTTCTTTAAATTTAAATTTCTGGTAAATTTCTGTAATTTAACAGCCGTTATTTTAAGTTTTTTTCCGGTACCCCAGCTGCCGGAAAAATTATGCATTTTTTTTACAGTTTAGATACTCAAAGCAAGATGTTTAAATAGCAGCACAATTTATGCAAAATACACATATATTATAAGACATATTAACAATACATTAAATCCAAGTATTTTATAATTACTACTGTAAAACAAAAACATATAAGCCTCCTCCTGTGCTAAGATTGTTGTCATTGCATAAAACTGGCCACTTATGTTCACGTGTCACTATGGTTTTTGTAGGCTTGCCAACTAACCTCCCATTTACTGAATATATCCACCTGTGAGGATTTGGGAAGAGTGCTAGGATACTGTCTGTGAGAGAATAGTCTCATTGGAATACAGTAAAGAGAAAAACAGACTTTATTTCTGAGTCTGGTCTGCTGTATTGCTGTATGAAAAAGCAAATCTCTGTAGCTTTATTGATAATTGGGTTAAGCTTTTTTTTTTTGTCACTCCAGCATTATGTTGCTTCAAAATTAGTTTGAGTAATATTAATATCTTTCATACTTCGGTTATTGCATTTTTTCATCTTTGCCTTAAAATGTTGGTATTTTTGTTTCTTTGCAGATTTTATTTCCTTTCTTCTAATAAAAATGTCTTGAGAGAATAAATTTAAATTGTCTAAATATGTTTAATTTAGCTTTTTTTCCAGAAATGATTATATCATTTTTACAATGTAGTTATATGTGATGTTGGACAACAAAACAAGCTAAAGTGTTGTATGTTTTTGTTTTATTTTTAAAATATTAAGATGCATGCATCAGTTGGAAGCTGTAAGACTCCAATTAATAGTTTGTTTGGATAGGACAATATTTGAAAATCTTCAATCTGGGGATTCAACAAAAATCTAAAAACTGAGAAAATCAACCTAAAGTTGAAGAAATTAAGCACGTTATTAATCCAAAATTTTGTTTTGATTTATTTACAGTAAGAAATTTCTTAAATATATAATTATGAAACATGATTGTTACTTAATATTCTAATGTTGATTGGCATAAATCTATATAAATAAAAATCTATAATTTTGTCAAAAACAGAGTATTTTCGACTATTGCCACAAGTATACCCATGCAACAAGGTTCATTAATATTTGACAAAGTACAAAAAGTTCTATTTGTGTCAGTGGGTTAATAAAATTTTAAATAAAGTATTATAAATTGCAAACATTGGCATTTTGTAAAATATGAATTCAAACTTTGATGTCTTAAGAAATTGCATATTCTTTGTTATTTAGACCAATCGTAATTGTATGCTTTAAATGACACTTCTTTTATTTTAGGTTTAGACAATTAACTAATAAACTTATTCCTTTCTCTAAGTATGTACTTTAAAATAATTTCCATAATACTGCCTTAGTAAATGGACGACATATCCAGATCACTTTTTACAATTTAAAATATAAAAACCATCTTAATAACAGAAATAATTACATTTGTTCTAATAATTATGATAATGCACAATAACCTTGCACTGAAAATAGCATATTTCTCTTTAAATTAACAAGAATTTTATTTATATTTTAAGATTATATATTAAAAACAAACAAGCTAAAGCAATAAACTAGTAATCAGACTTTACATTATAAATGTGCAGTACTCACGGCGATGCTGAGGTGACGGGTGTGTACTGAAGCTGAACAGTTGCACACTGGAATCATTACAGGATGGTTTCCACTCTCATTGCTCTCAGCTCCTCCCATCACAGCAGACTGGAGACCGTGCAGGTGCTATACATGGACATTACATTTGTAGATGCAAGACTTCACTTTACCATAATCTGCCTTTTTTAAATGATAATAAAAATATTTGAAATTATTAGAAATAAAATCATGTGAACTCACAGCAATCAAACCTACCTGAGCTACCTGATCTGATCTTGTGATGAATTTGCTAAGATTCCATCTCTGTGAATATTGTCAGTTTTCGATGACTTCAACTGATGAATAAACTTCCTCACTGTTGAATAATGGACTTCAAATTGTTTGCAAATTGACATTTTATCCCTCCAAAACATGGTAGTAACAGTTGATTCTCTAAGATCTTTCACATGTTTTTTCTTATTGCCGAGACCATAGACCAACAAACTCACAACAAGTTCACACTTGCTGAAGAGAAGTTAAGCAAAGGCATTTAATTAGCAGTACCTGACTGCTTCTTCACTCAAAAACAAAAAAAATAAATATGAATTACTCGCCCTCATGTTGTTCCAATACTCTGAGACCTTCTTTCATCTTTAAAACACAATTTTAGATAATTTAGATGAAATCTGAGAGCTCCCTCATCCTCCAATGACAGAAACAATTTTAGGACATCTAATGTAGACAACAAAAAATAATAATATCAAAAGAGACCATATCCATTCAGTGGTTCAACTGTAACCACAAAGCTCCAAGAACACTTCTGTGTGCCAAAAAACCCTCAACAACTGACTTTGTCCGCCTTTGTCTTCTTCCATGACAGGTCAGGGTGCTTGTTTACTAAAGACAATACAATGTATTATCTGTAGTAAATGTGTATGACTCTAAAATACAATGTATAGAGTCATACACAAAACACACAAGTGCTGTATAATGAATGCACACTAATGTGGAAGCTTGCACCAGTGAAGTCATGTGGAATGTTTTGACAATGTTTTCTGGTTCCTTTTCTGGGCTTTCAAAGTTTCGGGATCAGTGCTGTTTATGGAGGGTGTGGGAGCTCTCATCTTCAAAGAGTAACGAAATCACTGTGTAATTTGTTGTATTTTTATTCATCTGAGCTTTTATTTTTCAGATATTTTTTTAATTACTGATGATGAAAACCAAGAGGTTTAGGGCCTTACTTTTTCATATTGATATTTCACAGACCTCTCTTGTCTTCAGATAAGATTATTACAGTATCTGAAATGAACACATAGTTATCTGTTTTTGAGTACTTGCTGAATACTACACAGTAGTTATTTAGCTTAATGAGTTTCACATATACTGTACTCAAGTCAGATGTTACACTGAAAGGACAATGTTTCTGTGTGAATGAACAGTAATGTGTTAGGCCTCTGGTGACTTGTTAAGTCCAAAAAAAATAAACATGTCACTTGCACAATATTTCACCCTTGGGCAGTCAAACTTTGAAAAAACAAATAAATAAAAATGTAACTGGCTGTGTAGTAATACAAATGTTTAAGCCAGAACTAGCTGGACTGCTCAGTCAGCACTTAAGCTGAGCTTGAATCAATTAAATTTATTTATAAAGAACAGTTGAAAACCACCAGAATGGATCAAAGTGCTGCACGTAGGAATTAAATCAAATAATAAAAAAAAGGAAAAAAAAAATAATAACAATAATACATAAGCAACACAAAAAATTGCAACACAATATTGACCTTATTTTTGGTGTATGAGCGGGAGCAGCCATTGGAATCAATAATATGTACACTGTAATAAAATGTACACTGTAAAAGATGCTGGATTCCACACAATTGCTTCATGTTGTCTCAACTCAAACCGATTAAGTTAATTTAATCGTTTTTGAAAATTTAAGTGGATTGAACATAAAACAATTAAGTTGTTCCAGAAAAACTCAAAAATTGTATTGATTCAGTTAATTTTAAATACATAATTTTATCAAGTAGCAACAATATTTTTTTAAGTTTAATATAATATAAATCTATAATAATAGGGAATTAATCAGCCTTGATATGTCTTTAAAAAAGAACAGAAAGATCAGGGGTCTCATTAATAAGCATGTACGGGCAAAACATGGGTGGATTTGTGCACATGGCACTTATCATGCAAAAGTTGTGATCTATTAAACTGATGCTTGTTCAAACTACTTATTTAAAATAAGTTGAATCAACAAAATTCTTCATTTTATTTTTTTAAGGGGGAGACTTAATTATTTCATGTTCTATTTTCTTAAATTTGTAAAAACAATCAAGTTACCTTAATTGATTTGTGTTAGGACAACATGAAGGAATTGTGCAGAACCCATTTTTTAAAGCTTTAATGGATAATCGGCAGATGGAAACTTTAATTAAACATATTTAACTTAAATATTGTTGACTTCATTGAACCACTTTAAATCCTATGAGTCGTTATCAATAATAAATAAATCTAAATCTATTCTGGTGTACATTTACTTTTAGAAAGTTTTCTAAACAGATTTTATAAATCAGACCCCAGTCTCATTTAGTCTTTTATCCCTGTGGACTCATTTAGCCAACAAGCCTGTTCTGTCCTCTTCCCTGATACCATTAAGCTAATTGTTGCAAAAAATGAGCAGGTACAACAGAGATGATTTACAGTTACTATGAATACAGTAGAATCCAGACTGGTACACATTTTATTTCTTTTTTTTTTCTTTTATTAAAAAGATATACAATAAAATTAAGAACATATACACTTTCACTTATTATTGATTTTTATTTGGGCCTGAATTTTTGTTGGCAATCCAGGGTCACTGAAATGATCTGAAAGAGAAAAAAAATTGAATGTACTATATTTTACATTTTGAATACTGTATATTGTATTAAACTTACATACAGTTTTTCACCTACATAATCCTTTTAAATAAATAATTAAAAAAAAAACTATACTTAGTGAATCATTCATTAAAGCCAGGCAAATACACTGTGCGAATTCGGACAGTTGGAAGATTTAGGGCCCTATCATACGACCGGCGCAATGTGGCGCATGGCATGATGCAATAGTTTTTTGCTAGTTTCAGCTTGGCCCAAGAGTGGTTTTGAGGCGTTGCATCACGCTGTTTAAATAGCAAATGCAATTGCGCTCATATGTGCGCCCAAAGGCGTTCTGGTCTAAAAAGGAAGGCATTCTGAGGCACATTGCTTGCGCGTTGCTAGTTTGAGAAACTATATAATCTTTATTATATTATAATATCAATCTTTGTTTTATTAAAAACAAGCTTAGATTTGCCCACCTGCAGGTTTTAAACCATATGGGGCACAGCATGTGTTTTACAATATAACTCAGGTTTTTGAACACACTTCGTTATTATTGTTCATTTACTCGTTTGCTGGAAATTAGAACTGAATTTAGAAATAGTTTTAAAACAAATATTTGCGCTTAACAAACAAAATTACCGTCAAAATAGAGCCCCTTATGTGCATGCTAACATCACGAATGAGTTTATCTAAAAATCATACAAAAGCTCTAGCTCTTGAGAAATCTTCTGTAAAATAATATCTCTGATGAACCTGTCATGGTATTTACTGCATGAAACATCACATTACGAACTGTTCCTGACAAAGTCAATAAGTCAGCTGCCTAAGCTTTAAGACACAGCCCTGCTTTTTCCACAGCTCCTGATTGGTCAACTTCAGATAGATCTACAAATTGGTTTGTTCAACCACACACACACTTCAAGAATTAGACATACTTTTAACAGGATTTAGACATGTTTAAAAACGATCAGGAAATTTTGAGTTGCTGGGCTCAGCTATTAAATCCCTCTCACATGATGCGAGCGACAACCGTAAGAACATCAAAGGATATCCGTGTGTGAAAAAATCTCATATGAGCTCGTATGATAGCAAAAATTGCACTGTATGCCTGGCTTAAGACAGGAACTGCACCAGCAAAAAATAAAAATAAAACTATGATTTTGTTTAATTATTTGAAAAAGAAATTACTTCTAAATGAGAAAATAGCACTGCCAAAAAATTCAGAAGAAATCACTTTTGTGACATAAGTTCAACGTCAGTCAAACAGACATAAACTAATAAAATACCCTCTGAATGAAACACATAACAGATAATGTAACTTCAGCTGGTTGTTATGGAAAATTAAGGTGAGAGGTCTTATATTATTCATCCTGATAGGATCAATTTTGCTATAACTGACTGGCGATACATTTACCTTCTCATTACATGGCTATTTACCACACATGAGGCAATCCTCCAGTCATACTTTAGCAGTTAAAAAAGTTCAAACTAGATATAAAAGTAGCAAGTGTATAGCACTGACTTCAGCTGCTTGGATGAGTTATCAGATGAGTTATCAGAGTTATCAGTTTTTGCCACTTGTTACAGGAGGAAACTTGACCAATAAGTTTCAAGTATTCCAGAAAGCTTAACAGACCATAGACCGTCTTTACACGCAGACTTACATGAAGAGATGCAAAGGTGCCAAAAACCACATTTACCTGCTGCAAATTCATGAACATCTGCAGGCCTTTTCAGAAACACGTTTCTGGATGGAAAGAAAGAGAAATATATGAATAGATTCAATGATAACAAATACAGTTCAAAGTTATGCATCGCCTGCACTACACAAAAACCAAATTACACAAAATTTTTCCTTCTATTTCACCTATGTGTGACAGGTGTTAAATAACAGAGGACACCACAGCCCATGCATTTTGGTTTTGCCCTACTTTGTTTAATTTTTGGACAAACATTTTTGATTTATACTCCAAGACCTATAATATTTCCCTCCAACCGGATGCAGAGCTTGCTATTTTTGGTGTTTCAGAACACTCCCTCACCCTTCCAAAACATCTACAACAAGCCCTTACTCTAGGCATGACTGTGGCCAAGCGGATAATACTAAAAAACTGGAAATGTCCTTTACCTCCTTCTTTTCGAACCTGGTTAATGGATATGGCCTCCGTTATCTACTTGGAAAGGCTCAGATTTATCAGGTCTAAATCCAACAAAAAATTCTTTGCTACCTGGGAACCCTTTCTTGAATACTTAGACCTGAAACGTGCTCTAACCAAATACAGCACCCTTCATGAAAACTGACTGGCACACTACCTTATAGGACTTTTTGATGTCTAAATACTGTGTAACACTACATTTTGTATACCGAATGTACGGCTGAACCCACATGTACGGAAATTCATATATTTACTTCCAAAGTGTGTATATTCTGAGACAATATTGTTGTTTGTTTGCTGTTTTCTGTTGTACTTAAAAAAACTTAAAATAAAAGTATTAAAAAATGATAACAAAATGAGCTGTATAATCCTGATGCAAATAAAACATTAATGTACCTTAAAAAGTCACTCAGTAACATTTCCACCTCTGGGTGAAACCTCAAATATTTTTCATTGGCAATTCTTGTCTTGATCTGGAATAAAAATTGTGAAATCACAAACAATTTTAACTTGAAAACATTCAACCTAACACACACACACACACACACACACACACACACACACACACACACACACTCCACAATTCCAGCATTATGTTGCTTCAAAGAATATTCATGAGCACAAAATAAACTTGCACATTTTGCTCAACTACATTGTTTTTTAGTCTACCTATAGTGAATGAAGCATTTCAATTTAATATTGGCTACCCACTGCGCCACCGTAACGCCCACAATATTACTTAGTATTTTTAATTCTTCTTAAGGTAACTGCAGTAATATTTGTAGACCCACATGCCTTTTAGTAGCATAAAACAAAATACCTTGAACTGTCGTAGCTTCACCTGTTGGTCGAGACTTAAAGCGCCGAAATCAAGTTTCTCAAGATCGTTTCTGTCCGCCATCATAAAGAGACGCGATGGAGCCAGTGAGCTAAGCTCTTTGATAAAGCAGATTTTGTTGCCAAGCAACACAAACTTCCTGTATGTTTTGCCCAGACCCTCGGATGTATATTTTTCTTTTTATGTTATTTTTTTATTATTTTCTTTCATTTTATTTATGTCCCTACGCGTATTAGAATGTGTAACTTTACTAAATTATTTAATAGTTAAACGTGTAGGTAAACACTATTTGTTTATAGGCCTATACAAAGAAAGTGTTATAAGTGACTCACTCTACAGTGTCAGTAGAAAATAGATTAACGTTAACCTTATGCAATTTATTACTTCACGTAGCAACGTGTCATGAGACCAAACAGCGATGACTATGCTACCCATTAATAACATTATCATCATGTCATTCGGAGCAAACGTTGATCTATCTCGCTCACAGAGACGGCATTGAGTTGTCTACAGGTAAGTGACTTTTGTTGTTGCCGTTTTTGTTGTTTTGTTCTAATATTTCTTTGCTAGTCCACTGATAAATCGTTCGGGATTAGATTTAACATTAAAGACTCAGAGACTTGAGGTAGAAACATTCGCAAACTTTAATGGCAGTTTAAGAATAATTTAAGGTAATTTATGTAAGAATGTTCAGAACTACACTGGGAAATATACACGACATATAAATGTCAAATGACAAAGCAAATCAAAATAAACAACATGAAAGGGCAAAATTCAAAACAGATAACAGCGGCCTCTTGTGGAAACATCATTCCACTGCCGCCATTCTGAGAGGAAATGCAAATTAATATAATATAATATAATATAATATAATACAATATAATATAATATAATATAATATAATATAATATAATATAATATAATATAATATAATATAATATAATATAATATAAAATACAGGCCCATAGCCAGCCTGGTAAATGGGGGTTTCTTTTGTCTTAAAATTTAGACCTTTTTGCTTTTTATATTTAATTATGAGGTTTAAACACTGCATTTTAGTGGCATTTAAGCACTATTTTTAGCTGGATTAGCTTGTCAGATTTTTATTGTACAAAAATATTTCCTAAAGATTAAGAATAAAGAAATGTGAATAAAACATATGTTTAAAATATGAATTTATTATATCATATATCCTTTTAAAAAAAGAATCTGCTAAAGTTTTAAATTAAAAACTGTAGCCTATTGTGATTTATTAGTCAAATAACAAACTGGCCAGCACATTGAACTTTACTCAGTCAGAATTTGGCCATTTGAATTATAAAAAATTAAACATAATACTAAAAGAGCTTCATAATTTGTCTTGCCTTATAAAAAAAAAGTACATTTGATTGAAAATTCATGGTTAAAAACAATAGCCAAATTAGTATTTAAAGTCATACTAATATGGGTAAAATGTGCTTTACTTCTTTTTATGTGTCATTTTTTGTTTTAAGAGTATAAAGTCCAAGATTTAGAAAAAAGTTATTGTAAAATCTTTTCTCTATTTAAAAACAATACAGTACCGAAAGATGATTTCACTTAGGCTACATCCGATTGTGTGTTTTCTTGCACAGCTAATGAAAAATAATAGTTTGCATTGAACAAAACTGACCTAACAAAACCTATTTTCACAATTTATTATGGTGTAGCAGTCAAAATAGGACAAATGAGCTCATGTATGGGACAATGTATGGACCTTTTTCATTGAGGGGTGGGCCTTTCGAACCACCCAAACCCACCCTGGCTACAGGCCAAATAAAATATAATATAATATAATATAATATAATATAATATAATATAATATAATATAATATAATATAATATAATATAATACAATATATAATATAATATAATATTATAAAATATAATATAATACAATATAATATATAATATAACATAATATAATACAATATAATATATAATATAACATAATATAATACAATATAATATATAATATAACATAATATAATATAATACAATATAATATATAATATAATATAATATAATATAATATAATATAATATAATATATCATAATATAATATAATATAATATAATATAATATAATATAATATAATATAATATAATATAATATAATATAATATAATATAATATAATACTGCAGGTTTTGTGAACATTCGTGTTAAGAGGTAGCAAATAAACCTTTTAAATATTTTTCAATAATTTGATGGGGCAAAATATGTATTTATACTTTTCATTTAACTATTTCCGAAACAACCAAAGATGAACCACAGAAGCAACATAACAATTAAAAAGAAAGATGTAAGAGCCATGACATGCCAAATAAAGCACACACAGGAAAGTTTTTAGTATTTTTTTTTTCAATAAAATAAATGTTAAGTAAAGTTCAGCTAATCATCCGTCAGCTACTAAGTTTATGGTTTATTCACCTAAATAGCTGTACAAGTTGTGATTATAGCATTAGCATTGTGATTATAGCATTGACTGAAATCTCAAGCCATTCTTTGTTGGCAGGTTTGAGTTGAAAGTAATGGTCCTTTATCTAGCAAGAAATGTATAGGGAGTGTACAATGAGTTGGATGGTGAAGTACTTTTAAATTGATTTTACAAAATAACAATAACTTGCATGATAATAATAAAAAAATAAAATAATTTAAAACCCCTGAATATTAATTTCTTTATTTTATTTTCGGCTTAGTCCCTTAATAATCTGGGGTCACCATAGCAGAATTAACTGCCTACTTATCCAGCATATGTTTTACGCAGCGGATGCCTTTCCAGCCACAACCCATCACTGGAAACCCATCCATTCACTCATTCACACACACACACATACATACACTATGGACAATTTATCCTACCCAATTCACCTGTACCGCATGTCTTTGCACCGCGGGGGAAACCGGAGCACCCGGAGGAAATCCATGCAAATGCAGTGAGAACATGCAAACTCCACACAGAAACGCCAACTGACCCAGCCGAGGCTCGAACTAGCGACCTTCTTGCTGTGATAATATAATATAATATAATATAATATAATATAATATAATATAATATAATATAATATAATATAATATAATATAAGGCGACGCAGTGGGTAGCACGTTCGCCTCACAGCAAGGCGTTTCTGTGTGGAGTTTGCATGTTTTCCCTGCATTCACGTGGGTTTCCTCTGGGCACTCCGGTTTCACCCACAGTCCAAAGACATGCGGTGAAGGTGAATTGGGTAGGCTAAATTGTCCATAGTGTATGAGTGTGTGTGTAGATGTGTGGATGTTTCCCAGAGATGGGTTGCGGCTGGAAGGGCATCCGCTGCTTAAAAACTTGCTGGATAAGTTGGCGGTTCATTCCGCTGTGGCGTCCCCAGATTAATAAAGGGACTAAGCCGACAAGAAAATGAATAATATAATATAATATAATATAATTTGTTACAATAATGATTATATTGCATGTATTTAAATGGCACTGCGATTGTATCACTCTCTGTGTCTTTCACTCCAAAACTGGTGTTTGTCTAACCAGTAAGGAATAGAAAACTGGTAGTGGTGTTTTATTAGTTTGACATTTAATATTGACTAACTTGAAAAAATAACAATTCAGAAACTTGTTTATACCAAAGTGATTGCATTTAAAACCCTCACTTGTCATCACCTATTGGTTTAAATAAAAAAAAAGCTGTAGAAAGAGTCCTCATCAATTTTTAAACTTACAAACACAAAAGTGAATGATACAAACAGTGAAAAATCACAGTGTTGTTGTAATATAATATAATATAATATAATATAATATAATATAATATAATATAATATAATATAACATAACATAACATAATATAATATAATATAATATAATATAATATAATATAATATAATATAATATTTTTATTATAGTTTAACTTGTTGCCATGACTCCACGCCATGACAGCATGGCCTCTCGTGCTAAAATGTTTGTTACAGGTCTTGGGTTAGGCCTACTGTTCTTCTTCTCAACCAGGCTGCCTTTGTTCATCAGCTGAGGCTCTAGTAGGAGTAAAATTTGCAGTGATTAAACCAGGTTTTGATGCATTTTTTTTTAAATAAACATACTTCATAACTGTAAATTGTTAGTAGTTTTGCATAAAATAGTATTCATGCAATATGTATTAAATACCTCCTGTCAGCCCTGCAGATAAGGAGTGTCAAAGCAACAATGGTCAGGACAAAACCGACAAAAACAGCAGCTGTGCAATCTATAAAGAAGGGAAATTCACCAATTACATTTATACAACAAAGAGCACATAGAGGTCATGACACTTGCATGCATGATGTTTACTATAATGTAGAAAATTTTTGAATGGTCACATGCTAAAATAATAGAAATGATAATTATATTTGATAGGAAATACTAGGTAATATACTGTACTGATGACTCATGGTTTGCAAGTTTTACAATTTGTAATGCAGTTTTTTCACTTCTCACTTTATGGAATGTGTTCCCTCCCCCATCCTTGCTCAACAAATAATCTACTTCCTGTTTACATGTTTTCAAAATTTCAAAGATTATACTCTGACTTTAGTGCAGATCGGTGTGCTTCTTGTAGTTTTTGGTTGCGAGTTTGATTTGTTTGCAGACTAACATGCTCAATTTTGCAATAAATGCAAGTTTATTTTTGTAATCGTTTTTTTTGGAGTGGCTTGCAAAACAGGATTTTAGGGAAGGGTTTCAAAAGCTTCAGCATATCTAGAGAGAGAACTTTCCTTTAATTTTGCAGTCAGAGGTTCCATTACTTGACCAAAAACCAAATATGGGTATTATAACAGTTTTTTTTTACTTGTTTTACATGGAATTTCTCAACTTTATCCAAAGACCATGAAGTCAGGTAAGAAATAGTGTGCATGTCATTTGCTTTAAACATTTTTTGCAGCTATACTTCGATGGCAAAAAGACATTTCACTCTAACCAGGCAGTGTCTACACATGTTTAACTCTATATTTGTGCAATTTGTCACTCTGCACTTTACCCAAAGAGACAGAAGTACCTAAAAGTTTTTTGTCTGATCCATCCAATTGCTTTGTATTTGGTAATTTATCAGAGGTGTGTGCAGACTGTACTCACAGTGATGTCTCACTGATGAAAGCTGAACTGATAGCAAGGAGGACATATCTGTAAATATAATTGTTACAGACAGTCAGTACATGCATTTACAAAAGCACATCACCCCATACAGTACTATAACTACACCGTGAATTTCTTAAATTCTTTTTAACAGATATGAAAGTATGTTTGCTGCACACTTTACATTTAGGTTAACTCCAAAGCTGGCCTAAACAGAATTTAAGGTTATTTTATGCTAGTACTGCAAAAGCTACTGATTTTAGTCAAATTTATGACAATAGATAATATTGTGTTAATTATGTGATCATTTCCTCCCTCTTCAAGTATTCAAAACCAGCTGAACCAAAACAAATCCATATTTAAAAGTTGGTAACCACTGACTTTTTTATATATTTATTTGTTTAACTTTGTTTGTGTGTGTGTAACCCTCTAGATGGCAGACTTTACTTGTAGATGGTGGAGTAGTGTTAAAAACTGGATTGCTTTTTTCTGTGAAATTTGTGCCTGAAAGAAACAGAATTTGATGCCACTTTTATCTTATTTGCGTTTATTGTTGCATATGTTAAAGTTGAAAGCAAAAGCAAAGAGATAGAATGTAACATTATACTTACATGAGCAAGTGAGTTCCTTGGTGTATTTCTAAAGGAGAATCAAAATGCATTTGATTGGCAAATAAATACAGTGCTTCAAATTAAGAGAAGTAAAACTTTTCTCAGTTGATAAATAATAGTTAACTCACAGGACAAGTGACGTGAAATCTGACAGAACCAGGACAGTAACTGACAATGATTTCACGTTGCGTCACATTTTTGAAGGGATAAGAAAAGTGTGTTGAAAGTCCATCAAGGATTGCTGTGAACCATTGCTATAGGAGAGAATTGAGACATTTAATACTACTTTGCTTTTGTTTACAACTGTCTTTGGTAGAATACAAGACATTTTTGAACAATCATTGACGATTACAAAGTAAGGTGCCACTTCTACCCAAAATAGAAAATTTGGTTGATCACATTAAAAACAAACCTGGCTTTTATATACTATACATATTTCATATATAGCGTATTTTTTTCAATAATTTACAATGACATCACTGGATTTTTGGTTTAGAAGGCATACACGCATTTTTTTGGCAAAAGTCAGATATTGTGATCCATGTCTTAATTTCCATATCTCCATATAACGCTATCATTACACTCACTGAAAATGCTACTTCGTCGCTTTATAATGCTTTCATTTTTTTTTTAATAACTTTTTAACATTATGGTCTTAAATTTGATAATTATCCTAAAAAGTCTCATACGCATTGCAGTTACATAAAATTAAGTAGCGTAAATTGCTGCGGGGTTTGTCAAAATAAATTATAAAATAAAAATAAAAAAATTAATTATAAATTAAGAGATTTACATCAATGGTCCACTCAGCATCACATCGATGATCTTGCACGTTTACAGCCACATCATCAGGCAGCGGAAAGTAATAGGAGTCCACTTGTTGAATTCCAACACACGATTCACCTGCTGCGATTAAATAAAACATAAATGTAAAACAAAAGAAAAACTACTCTAATTCCATGCAGTATCATAAGGTTACTTACCAGTGTGGAAAATAATTTATTTATTATTTTTTAAATTAGCTTATAATACAATAAGATTTTATAAGGTAGTTGCAGATCCTTCGCAAGCTTTAAACGGTAGGCTATATTCCAACACACACACACACACACACACACACACACACACACACACACACACACACACACACACACACACACACACATATGCAACAGCCTGCAAATACCTTTTATGTTTAATAATTTTAATGCAGTGGCGCCCCCAGAAAATTTTCTTACGGGTGCAGGGCTCGACAATAAGGAGTGCCCGATGGCTGCCCCGGGGCCAGCGTGCGAGACAGAATACAGTGTACAGAATGTTACTGGCCAGTGCTGCCTTGTTGCCATGCCAGATCGAGCCAGAGCTGCGTGCTGCGACTGTCTGTCAATTGTGTGCAAATACAATCTTACGGTGCTTTTTCACACATAGACGTTTGTTTCGGAATCTGTCTCGTTTCCCCCTTTAGCGCGGTTGTTTGGCATATATCCAGCAGTTGCGCTGGCATCGCGCCAAATCAATCAGTCCGAGATAGCCTATAAATAAGACGGTCTCTGTCCAATTGAGCGGATCGATTGTAGTGAGAAAACAAAACAATGCAACGACCCAGGCTATATCACAGTGTATTATGATTGTGTAATAGCCATATATACGGCTATATGAATAGAGAATGATGAGCAGGGCGAGATGTCTATCTTACCGGTAAATGCGAAAGTGAAAGCATGCTGAAATATTACCGAAAGCTGTTTATCCAGGCTGATCTCGGTTTATCCGTTAGGAAAATTGATTAGGAAATCGTATAACATGTTGTGTTAGGCCTGTTGTTTTGTTCATTTTCGCACTGACAGCTCGAAAGAAAGATCAACATTGATCTGCTTCGCGATCTGATGCAGTCTCGGTTCATATGCTATGTCTCTCTATAATTTAAGCCTAAAATGCAGAGTTCTAGCCAATGTTTCTTTAATAAATTGATTAATTCAATAGATAGATAGATTTTTACAAAACCTGACAATTGAAATGAGACTCTGTATGGGAAAGTCTGACCTCTGCTTTGTATTTGGTGACGATGTCTGTGGGTTGTTAAAATTAAAGTGCACATTTTCGCTTATAAAATATATACACAACTGGTCTAGGGGTAAGTGTGATTGTTAAATATGTTAAAATAAGCTTCTCCTGCTCACCAAGGCTGCAATTATTTTATCATAAATACAAATTTCGAAATGTTGCACTATGAAATATCTGTTCAAAAGTAGTTTATCATTTAATTTATTCATTTATTCCAGTGATTTTAAAGATGAATTTTCACCTTCATAACTCCAGTCACATGATCCTTCAGAAATCACTAATATTAATTATTATTATTGTTATTAATGGTATAGTATTAAAAGCAATAATGTCTGGAGTAATAATTTTATTTGAAACTACATACAATAAGAAAGCTGTTATTTAAAATTTTGAAAAATATTTAACAACTTAACATTTTTTACATTTAATAAACATAGCCTTGATGAACTGAAGATTTTTCCTTAAAAACATTTAAAAATTACCGTAAATATATATACAGAGTTATTAGTCCCCCTTTGTTTTTTCTTTTCTTTTTAAAATATTTCCTAAATGATGTTTAACAGAGCAAGGAAATTTTGATAGTATGTCTGATAATATTTTTTCCTCTGAGCACAGTCTTATTTGTTTTATTTTGGCTAGAATAAAAGCAGTTTTTATTTTTTTTATGAACTATTTTAAGGTCAAATTTATTAGCCCCTTAAGCTAATTGTTTTTCAGACTGTCTACAGAACAAACCATCGTTATACAATAACTTGCCTAATTCCCATTACCTGCCTAGTTACCCTAAGTGAAGCCTTTAAATGTCACTTTAAGCTGTATAGAAGTGTCTTGAAGAATATCTAGTCTAATATTATTTACTGTTATCATGACAAAGATAAAATAAATCAGTTATAAGAAATTAATTATTAAACCTATTATGATTAGAAATGTTTTTTAATAAATCTGCTCTCTGTTAAACAGAAATTGGGGAAAAATAAACGGGGGGCTAATAATTCTGAAATCAACTGTGTGTGTGTGTGTGTGTGTGTGAAAATTTTGGCAGGGCAAGTAAAAATCGGGCCAGGAGAAAAAATCCTTATCGTTGAACCATGGGGTGGCCAAGTAAGGCCACACTAAATCTTGGGGTGGCACACACAAAAAAATTATGAATTGTGTATAGATTGTGAATAATGAGTAATGTTATATTTTTGTCTCTGGTAAATGAAATAATGAAGTTTTAATTAATTCCATGAATTACTCTTGAAAAAATGCAATTTATTCCTTGAAATAATTCAGCAAGTACACGTGCAAACCAAATAAAAATCAATATTTAGTTTAAAAACAACTTTAAGGCAAGTTATTTTTCACATAGGCCTACTTTTATTGTACAAAATACAGTATACGTCATGTCTAAAATTACCGAAGATGAATGAATTAATAAAACAAACAAATGAACAAAGACATTACCACACCCACACACACACACACACACACACACACACACACGCACACACACACACACACACACACACACACACACACACTATACAGACCCTATTACTCTAATTTATTCATGTTCCCTTTTTGAGCCACAGTATATTAATACATATTCTTCTATTGATGTACGTTTTTGCAAAATACACCCACAATATCATTTTGATTTTGGCCTTTTAAAGTCAAACAGCAAAATAATGGAGTTACTAAATAAACTACATTCTAAAAAAATGATTTCAAAATGGATCTAATTATTATTTTTTGGGATTTGTGGTTTTCAATCAGATAAAACACAACTTTTTCAGTTCAAAAATAAAAATTTCTTAATAAAAAGTGTGCAATCTCAGTGAATCAGCTACGTCGATGGCGCTGATCAATCCACAATAATTTAGCGGCAGTATTTTATTTATTCATTAATTAATTTACTTGAAATATTGTGAATTTACGTTCGTAAATTTAAATTAATAAAATCAACAACTACATCATATTGGGGTGGTTTCAACGTGCTATCACTTATATCCATGACGTGATAGTTTTATTCGACATTTTGGATGTTCATTTATTTGCACGAATACGGCAATGACACTATAATACAGGATAGTTTATTCATTTTGTGAAAAACGAAAGAATGTCATGGGCTCTTGTTTATTAACGTCAAAATATTAAATAAAAAACACACACACACTCCCCCTCTCTTTCTCACACACACTCGCGCTTTCTCGCGCCTTGGTTATTAGTGAGCATAACAGTCACTCATCTTTTTCCATTATCGATAGGCCTACTCACTCACTATCAGTGCAAGCCATGTTACTTATCAAACGCATTTTCGTTACGGAATTCCAATAGAAAACATTTTACAATCTTACCTTTTCCCTCGATCACACTAAACCACTGGGACAAAACGAAAAACATTCGAGCGATCTGTTTCATCTTGGTTGTTTCCTCTGCAGCCACACATTGAATGACTGCCCGCTCGCTCGCTCGCTCTCTCTCTCTCTCTCTCTCTCTCTCTCTCTCTCTCACTTCCGGTGTGAGTGTTTGGGCACGAGAGGACGGGTGTGTGGGAGTGTGCATGGTGAGTGAAAGCGATCTGCTTCTATCTTCTCACTTTTGTCTTGCTGCTTGTTTCTAACTGCTTAATTTGTTTGACACCCTGTTGTTGACTTGTTGAGCCGTGTGCTGCTACTTATTGCGAGGGCAGTATGACGGCTCCACGGTCACAAGGGCTAAACAATCTAACGCGGCGTCATGGGGTGAAGGTGGCGTCCGCAGTGACAGTAGAGGATTGTTGTTTGGCGATAGGTGAAGTACGGTGGCCCAATAGTGCAAAACAACAACATTAAGATGAAAACGCTGCAACATGAACACAACAACATTAAGATGAAAACACAACAACATTAAGATAAAAATGCTGCAACATGAACACAACAACATTAAGATGAAAACACAACAACATTAAGATGAAAACACAACAACATTAGGATGAAAACACAACAACATTAGGATGAAAACACAACAACATTAAGATGAAAACACAACAACATTAAGATAAAAATGCTGCAACATTAAGATGAAAACACAACATCAAGATAAAAATGCAGCAACATTAAGATGAAAATACAACAACATTAAGATAAAAATGCTGCAACATTAAGATGAAAACACAACGACATTAAGATAAAAATGCTGCAACATTAAGATAAAAACACAACAACATTAAGATAAAAATGCAGCAACATTAAGATGAAAACACAACAACATTAAGTTAAAAACGCTGCAACACTAAGATGAATCATGCTGCAACACTAAGATGAAAAGCGCTGCAACTTTAAAATCACAACACAACGGAAATGCTCCTGACCACTAGGTGGCAGATAACGGGCAGTCGTGTGCCCATCTTAAGAGTTTTAGTTCAAAAGTTTCGTTTCATTTCGGACGTTGCTCTTGGTAGCAATCATGTATTGCCCATTTTGCGGGGCTTCACTTGACAGTTGCCCGTCATTCTGCAGCAAATGTGGAAAAAACATAACGTTTCTGAAAGGCAAAGTTCCTGATGGAAATGAGCCCAGCACCAGTGGAGGTAAGTTACAATGCTGTATTGTTTGTAGGGTCCTATGAATTTCATAAATCGTATCTGTCATGAAATCGAATAACGCGGTTTGTCACGGAATTTTCTTATTTTTTGATGAATATATTAAAATAGCGTTGTAACGTTACACCTCGTCAAAGCACGATCCCGAGGATTTATGTTAATTGGACATGCTGTTTGATTTCTAAAGAATGTTTTATTCTTTTTAATATTTAATGCAGATTTTCGTTAGCTGATTAATGTGACATGCAATAGATTTTTATGACAATGTTTCTGAAGCAGGAAAAACAGAAACAAGTTCTGTGGATTGCTTCATGAAGTACTATTGATGTTTAATTTTATAAAAACATTAAAATTTCCCAGAATATCAAATCTTAAAGTAATAAAAATCCTCATTCACAACTTGATTTAAATTTAATGTTACTAACTTACATTTAGAACTTCTTGTGGAATTTCTCGAGGTAATAATCATTGTTTTGGTCTGTATTAATAATATCTGTTTAATCAGAAGAAGTAATCGGTGTTCCACTGCCACCTAGTGGTTGGGAGCATTTCCGTTGTGTTACGTTTTTAGTGTTGCAGAATTTTTCATCTTAGTGTTGCAGCGTTTTCATCTTAGTGTTGCAGCATTTTTCATCTTAGTGTTGCAGCATTTTTCATCTTAGTGTTGCAGCATTTTTCATCTTAGTGTTGCAGCTTTTTCATCTTAGTGTTGCAGCATTTTTCATCTTAGTGTTGCAGCATTTTTCATCTTAGTGTTGCAGCATTTTTCATCTTAGTGTTGCAGCATTTTTCATCTTAGTGTTGCAGCATTTTTCATCTTAGTGTTGCAGCATTTTTCATCTTAGTGTTGCAGCATTTTTCATCTTAGTGTTGCAGCATTTTTCATCTTAGTGTTGCAGCTTTTTCATCTTAGTGTTGCAGCATTTTTCATCTTAGTGTTGCAGCTTTTTCATCTTAGTGTTGCAGCATTTTTCATCTTAGTGTTGCAGCATTTTTCATCTTAGTGTTGCAGCATTTTCATCTTAATGTTGTTGTGTTTTGCACTACTGGGCCACCGTAGTGAAGTCGTGGGGCATGAGCACATCATATCTGCTTCGCGAATGAACAGTGTCATAGTTGTTTTCCTCAGTACGGTGGAGAAAGCTAATGAATTGGTGGAATCTGGCATTGTGGTGGATAATCTTTTTACACCTGTACTTCCGCTATCCTTACCATCTAGGAAAGTTTTGTTATCAAATGTCCCGCCGTTTGTTACTGATGATACTTTAGTGAGAATAATGTCTCGCTACGGTAAAGTGGTGTCACCTATAAAGATGATACCGATTGGTTGTAAGTCCCCGCTATTGAAACATGTTGTTTCCTTCAGACGCTTTCTTTTTATGATTTTAAAGGAAGATGAAGAACTGGATGTGTCTTTACACCTTAAAGTTGAGGATTGTGATTATGTAATTTATGTCACAACGGAGAAAATGAGGTGTTTCAACTGCGGGGAAACAGGGCATTTAATTCGTTTATGCCCAAAAGTAAATGAGAAAAGATCCGAAAATGATAACGGTAGTGCTGGTGCGTCAACTGAGGCTGGCACATCAAGTGATGTGACGTCGGTAACTAAAGTTACGACAATCAATGAGAAAGATGAAGTGCGGCAATCTGAAAATGAGTCTGCTCAAGTGGAAAATTTAAAAACTGTGGTGGGAAAGAGCTCTTCTGATACTCCTCTCTCAAATCCTGATACACAGTGCAGTGAAAAACACAAAGACAACGTCAAATCTGATGTTTCACTGTCTAATGTGCGATGGAGTGACTCTGAATTAGAAACGGAGCAAAGTCACTTTAAAGTTCCTTCAAAGAGGAAAAAGGCTAACATTTTTCAATCTAGTAAAGCCAAAAAAACTGAAGTAGACGATGGTTGTAGTGATGATGGAATGGAGAGTGGCAGTGAGTCTTCTAGTTCAAGCATATGCTTGTCTCAGAATGACTGCTCCACTCGTAGTTATGAGGTTGATGAAATTAAACTCTTTCTTAGGGTTACAAAAAACAAAAGAGGGGTGGAAGTTTCTGATTATTTTCCTGACACGAAACAGTTTGTTGAGAAAACTAAACTATATACATCAGAAGGTTTGTTCACAGACAAAGAGAGATTTCGCTTAAAGAAGTTTGTGACAAAATTGCTGGCTGAGGACGTGAATGAAGGAAATGATATTGCTTAAGGGGCTAATAATTTTGTCCCAAAAATGGGTTTTAAAAATTGAAAAAATGCTTTTATTCTAGCCAAAATCAAAAAAAAAAAAAAAAAAAGACTTTTTCCAGAAGAAAAAATATTATCAGACATACTGTGAAAATTTCCTTGCTCTGTTAAAAATCACTTGGGAAATATTTAAAAGAGAAAAAAAAAAAAATCAAAAGGGGGCTAATAATTCTGACTTCAACTGTGTGTGTGTGTATATATATATATATATATGGTCTACAAAGATGTAACGTATTTTTAGCAATGGAAAAAAATACTAATGAAACTAGTGAATATTTATGTTTTTTAGTATACTTGTTCAAGTTCACTGAAAAAGTACTATAACATAGTACTAATATATACAGTTGAAGTCAGAATTATAAGACCCCCCTTAGAATTTTTCTTTTTTTTTTTATATATTTTCCAAATGATGTTAACAGAGCAAGGAAATTTTCACAGTATGTCTGATAATATTTTTTCTTCTGGGGAAAGTCTTATTTGTTTTGTTTCGGCTATAATAAAAACTGTTTTTAAGTTTTTAATAACCATTTTAAGGTCAAAATTATTAACCCCTAAATTTTTTTTTACAATAGTCTACAAAACAAACCATCGTTATACAATAAATTGCCTAATAACCCTAACCTGCCTAGTTAACCTAATTACCTTGGTTAAGCCTTTAAAAGTCAATTTAAGCAGTATAACTACAATCCAGTTCTATGAATCTGAGTCTTTCATTATACACACACTTATTAATGATTTACTGTCTCTCTCCTCCTCTCCCTGTATTTTCTCTACTGTCCTCGTGATAAAGAGTAGGCAAACAGCATAGATCAAATTGATTATAAAAGTATCTGAAATCACACACACTATACCTCTTCTCCTCTCCTGTCTCTCTCCTCTTCAGGGGCTTTCTCTTTCCTTTTTCTGTCTGTCTCTCTGATAAGATGAATCCAGTCCACGCTGCGCTGCCACTAGCCTTATCTGCCTGGTTAATGCTAGCTTACTCATCTAACGTTACCATAACATCTTCTTCTATACGCTCATTCTCCTGATCATGGGTCTGTTTAAAGTAGATGTGTGTGGAACATGCCTCGCTAAAGATGGCTCCTCTCCTATTTTTCTCTCTTGTTTGTTAAAATCCCCTTGTCCACTCATTTTTGATCTACGACAACTACCAGTCCACTCAGTTAAGTGCGGGTTATTTCAGAACTGACATTTCTGCGCTTGACCAATTACAGCATTCTGTTTAGTTAAAGAAAGTAAGAAAGGAAGACAAAATAAATATAATAATAATAATAATAGTTATATGTGAAAGCTATTTTTTTTTTTTTTTTTTGCTAAAAGAAAATATAGTTGTCTGAGCAATATAGTTTTTACAGAGAGGAAGGCACCTTTATAAAGACGTGCCATCTATTAAATTTTCTATATACGGGGGAAGTAGGGCTAGTTGCAGCAAATGATGATCACGAACAGTTCGGAAGATTGTAGATAACATTGTAGATACAAATTAATTTTATTAAGATGTTGCTAACATTTAACACCAGGTGGAAAATAACTGTTCATAGAATATAATCACTATTAAGATGCGGTTACACATATGAAATAGGCTAAACATTATTAAATACCCATGAGGCAGTTGTGACTTTGTCACATTTGCATTATTTTTAAAAAATGTTTCCTTCCTATTAAAAATAAAATATATTTCCAATCTAATTTGTAATGGGGCGAGAAAAGTAGCATGAGTTCAGCAGATGGT